GAGAGAGAGAGAGAGAGAGAGAGAGAGAGAGAGAGAGAGAGAGAGATTTGTGACTTCGGGATGTTGACGACATTTGGATACAGACTCAACCTTGGGACAAAGACATTGATGGGAGACGATTTGGGATCGATATCAACGACATTGGTGTTGATGACATTCTCATCTTCTCCCTCCTTTTCGTCTGATCCCCTCCTCTTCGTCTGTGTATGATCTGGGCCTGGCACATTCTTCCTGTGTGTAGCGCCAAACCCCTTCACACCTTGCGATAATGATGATGTATGTTTGGTCTGCATTGCGACATTGATTGGTCTGATCATTGGTGTTTTAGCCTCCCGTTGTGCTATCCTGTACTACGTGAGAGGGGTCGGTTCTTGTTCTGGTCTGCACCATTACAGTATGCGACACCGTGCCAGTAAAACGAAGTGGACAGTCTTGAGATTAATGGGAAGAAGGAAGAGAGAAGCCAGAATGAAGGGAATCCGATAACGGAAGAAGAATTGGAGTAAAGTACGGAAATCAGTGAAGAAAAAGGGGCGTATCTACAAGCGAGAGGTGAGAGAGGGCAATGATGTGGCATTGATTAATAAATTAATGAATATCTGTCGCAGAAGATGAACGTGGCAGCTATATTGCTGCTGCTGCTGATGAAAACTGGTGATGTTCACGTGAAGATGACACAATGATGCTCCAGAACTGGCAATCTTGAAACTCTTGGTGCCCTTGATGAAAAGCCTGCACGAAACACGAACAAAAAAAAAAAAAAACACAGACAAATTTGATGATGATCCTCCAGCTTGATGATATCCTCCCGCTCTGTGTTGAAGCTTTAAATAGGGCAATCGATCTCCACACTTCAGTCTCCTTGGGGCTGACTCCACTTTCGTCCACCGACGTTGACATTCGTCAACTTGCAGGAGCTCTCCAGCCTCTTAAGGGCGTCAGCTATGGAGTACTTCAGGTAGAAGACACCGGGAAAATGTTCAAATAGCAGCCACCGCCAAAATTCTCCTTTTTTTTCTGTGCCTCAGGGCAGATGCCACGTCAGCCTGTGACGTGGCACTGGCCAAGCGCCTCCGGATTCCGCGCGTATGTAAAGTGCTGTCACCTCTCCAATCCACCTCACCACAGAGCCCGCGCACCAGCGCCTCCCTCGCGCCGACAACTTGCGGTATGCCACGTGTCAGACACTATTGCTATACACTCGCTGAGCCAGCGCCTCACCAGCTGTAAGTGGCCAGTGCCCCGCCCCTCACATGCTGCCAGCGCTTCGCATCCCACTAGCAGCCAGCGCCCCGCAGCCATAAGGTGCCAGCGGCCCGCCTCCTCCAACCAGCCAGCACTGCACCCACAAGCGTTCAGCATAGCGCTGCCTGCACACCGCCATCGTCTCGCTGCCCGCCCACCACTCAGCGCTAATGCTCGCCCACTTCCCCCTTCAAGGTAATGTGCATGCTCACTTTCTTCTCGGTCGGTCCCTACAACCAATTTCAGAATGAAAAGCTGAAAGCACTGTGGAAGGAAATGAGGTCCAGCATATCCCATCCGGCCATGTAGCGCCATGCACTCATCCATAGGCATCCCCTAGTTACACGACAC